TTTTTTTATTTTTTTATTTTTTTTTATTTAAGTGAATGGAACTGTTCAGCATTCAGTGATGGTTTCTGTCATGTCTGTATAACAGCAAAGCCCGGACAGTGTCCACCTCAATCATCTGGAAGAAGATCGTGTACCAGTTCCTGTAAGAGTGACTCTAACTGTCCCAACAATGAGAAGTGCTGCAGCAATGGATGTGGACGTTACTGTACGGTTCCATATACAGGTATTTGTGTTGTATTGTTTTGGTCAGATGATGATGATGATAAATTTAGCCTTTTGTTCTAGTCTAAAGTAGGTTTGAATTCATCCCTTAGGATAGTTTTAAACACAATGACTTATATTTAAAAAAAAAAACAAAAAAAAACAGGGGGGTGTACTTGGAATATAATTCACTCTGTAGGTAAAACTTGCTATTCATGTTTCGTGCTGTATATTGAAGTGGCATACTGTCTATATGCACAAACTAAAGCTGACTATCTGTGTCCTCGCAGTGAAGCTGGGTCAATGTCCCAAACCGAAGAGCATTCCACTGTGTGCTGAAAGCTGTTTCCATGATGGCCAGTGTCCTGCCACACAGAAGTGTTGCCCAACCACCAGTGGCCGTGCATGTAGTGAACCACGTGGTCAGGGAACAGGTCAGGCCCAGGGAAGTGGAAGCGGCCAGGGAAGTGGAAGCGGCCAGGGAAGCGGCCATGGCCAGGGAAGCGGCAGCGGCCAGGGAAGCGGCCATGGTCAGGGAAGTGGAAGCGGTTATGGTCAGGGGAGTGGTTATGGTCAGGGGAGCGGTCATGGTCAGGGAAGTGGAAGCGGCCAGGGAAGCGGCCATGGTCAGGGAAGTGGTTATGGTCAGGGTAGTGGTTATGGTCAGGGAAGTGGAAGCGGTTATGGTCAGGGGAGTGGTTATGGTCAGGGGAGTGGCCGGGGAAAGGGAAGTGGAAGCGGCCAGGGAAGCGGCCATGGTCAGGGAAGTGGTTATGGTCAGGGTAGTGGTTATGGTCAGGGAAGTGGAAGCGGTTATGGTCAGGGGAGTGGTTATGGTCAGGGGAGTGGCCAGGGAAGCGGGAGTGGCCAGGGAAGCGGCCATGGCCAGGGAAGTGGCCAGGGAAGCGGCCATGGCCAGGGAAGTGGCAGCGGCCAGGGAAGCGGCCATGGTCAGGGGAGCGGTCAGGGAAGTGGAAGCGGCCAGGGACGCGGC